TCCTCTATGGCCTGTGCTCCAGCTCCTGCCTCCAGGTTCCTGCCCTGAGTTGCTACCTTGGGCTCCCTGATCAACTGTGACCCAGGAGATGTAAGATAAAAAAAAGCCCTTTCTTCCCCTTTGCCACAGCAATGAAAAACAAACTAGAACAGAAATTGGTACCAGGAGTGGGATATTGCTGTGACAGACCTGACCTTGGTGTTTTTAGGAGAATTGTGGAAGCATTCGAACTTTGGGCTGGAAAAGCCATTGAGTGCTTAGTTTGTTGCTGTGAAGCTCGGAACAGTTATACTGAAGGAGTTGTGAACAATGGAGGCCTGGCTTGTGAAACTTCAAAAGGAAGAAGAGATGATCAGGGCTGTTTAGTTTCAAAGGGAAGAAGAGACTATCAGGGCTGTTTGTGTGATATTTTGAATTGAGAATCTGTGGGTTCTGGTCAACTGGGGCTGAAGAATCAGCTGTGATTAAGAAGAGACCAGAACCTGAAGTAAAACCTTTGCTTTGCTGGGACTATTAATGCTTGTTAGTTGGGGCTGAAAAATCAGCTGACGATAACAAGAGACCAGCATCACAATAGTGAAATCTTCTGGGAAATATTTCCTCGGGGTCCGCACACAGAAGCTGTGGTCAAGAGGGGGCATGAGCCTCCATCTCTAGCTGGAGGCAGGGCTTGGTAATGTGTAAGAGTCTTCTGCATGGTTCTGGTGTTGAAAGCATGAAAGGGTCACAGAGAGCAGCTGAGGCTTGGCACTCTGAGAGGCCAGGAAAGGCCATAGGTGAAAGTGCAGCTTCAGTTGCAGTGAAGACCCCAGGATTGAAGAGATCATGGAGAGAACCTGAGGCTTTGCACCCCAAGAGGCAAGAAGAGGCCAATGGTGAGGGTGTAGCCTCAGTTTCAGTGGAGACCCCAGATTTTTGGAGACGTCACGCCCATGGGATGACCACCAAGGACAGCAATAGGTTTGGAATGGAGCTGGCCTGGGTCTGGGAGACGAGCTGCATGTGCTGTGGATGGCAGAGTCAGAGAAGTAGAGCTGCCACAACCCTTTAGAGCCCAGAAGATCGTGAATCCCAGATCTCCAGCCCTGAGCTATTTTGCTGGCGTTTGGTTTCGCTTAGGTATGCCCGATTGTTCCCTTGGAAATAAGATAGTACTTGTTTTGGATTTCACAGAAGTCCACCCATAGTTAAGAGACTTTTTAAAGAGACTATGGACTTTTAAGTGTTTGGATTTTTTAAGGACTGTGGGGCTTTTAAGGTTGTACTGTCTTATGTTGTGATATTAACATCATATCATGAGGACAAGAATTGGAAAGGTTATGGTTTAATAGTGATGTGTTTGTGTGTCAAGTTGATAAGGAGTCAGTTGTGCTGGATAGCTTTAGTGTCAACTTGACACACCTGGGTTGAGGGAGCTTCAATTGGGGAATTTCCTCCATTGGACAAAAGCCTGTGGCCATGTCTTTGGGACATCTTCTTGATTGTTGAGTGGTATGGGAGGGCCCAGTCCACTGTGGGTGGTGCCTCCCCTGGGCAGGTGGGCCTGTGTTGCATAAGAAAGCAGGCTGAGCAGAGGCCAGGGAGCAAGTCAGTAAGCAGCATTCCTTCATAGCCTGTGCTTCAGCTCCTGCCTCTAGGTTCCTGCCCTGAGTTCCTATCTTGGGCTCCCTGATGAACTGTGACCCCAGGAGATGTACGATAAAATAAACCCTTTCCTCCCCATGTTTGTATTGGTCAGAGTATTTTGTCATAGCAATGGAGAAACAAACTAGGACACTTGCCAGGATCTGAGTTCAGAAATTTTAGATCAATATGAAAGTACCTATGGTTAGGAAAATAATCATCCTGCGTGACAAGGTTCCTTACATGATCCAGCACACATACTCAGTCTCTTGGGAGCTGGTCCATTGTATAATACGAGTATTTCCGCGCTAAAAGAACAACTTTCCCAAGTTAAACAATACTGGTCATAACAAGCTTGGGTTTCTACACTTGCACCCATCACATCAGCATTTAATGGCAATAGTAAAACATGAAAGAACCATACCTTACCCTATCAACTTGTGACTTTCCAAATAAAAATAGCAATGCAGCATTGTCCCTATTCACCTGTCTAAAAATTCTTGAAAACTATTATCCACTCAAGTCTCATTTCCCAGAGTCCCACAAATACAGGGAGGACAATTCTACAGCACAAAAGTGCCATCCTCTATCCATTAAGCCTCTCAAGCCTTTTTTCTATTTACAGAAAAGAGTGGGAGAATCAACAGTACTGTTTACAGTAAAGCTACAAGACCAAATTCTTACCAATTTTTTATAGGCTACGTAAGAGTCATTTTCCCACCCCAAGAGTTTCAACTCAAGAACAGTATTTTCTTTCTCATTATTAGTAGTCTTTATGCCATTTCCATGTCCAACTTAAATTTTTATTTTGCTAAATAAAAAAAACTGTCAGTGAATTTATCTTAACTGTGAGAACAAGAAGCTGGTTACCATACTATCTCATTTCCCAAGCTTTCACTCCACTATGAATCGTCATCAATGATGCTGAAAACAGACACAGTCTTTAGGGTCTACAAATACATCTTATTCAAGGTAAAATACCAGCCCAATGTTCAGAAACCCTAAGTACCAGCCAGGCATGTTTAGCACATGCCTGTAATCCCACCACTGAGGCTGAGACCTGAAGACCAACCTTGGCACACAGTGAAACTTTGTCTCCAAACAAACAAAAACAAAACAAAAAAAGAAAAGGACTCTATGGGGCACTGGGGATATAGTTCATCTTGCCAGAAGTCTTAGGTCTGGCCTCAGCACTAAAAGGGAAAAATAAATTCTAAAAGCATCTAGCTAGGTCTTTTAAAATTTTTTATTTTTTTAATTTTATGTGTGTTTTATCTGCATATATATAAGTGCACCATGTGTATGCAATGCCGAGGCTAAAAGAGGGTGTCAGATCCCCTGAAACTGGAGTTACTTATAATTGTGAGCTGCCAAGTAAGTGCTGTGAACCAAACCCAAGTCCTCTGCAAGAGCAGCCAGTGCTCTTAACCACTGAGCCATCTCTTCAGCTCCCTAATCACTTTTTTTTTTTTTTCCGGTCTTTTTGAGACAGGGTCTCCCTGTAGTCCCAGCTGACCTGAACTCACTATGTAGACCAGGCTGGCCTTGAACTCATAGATATCTGCCTGCCTCTGCCTCCCAAGTGCTGGGATTAAAGGCGTGCACCACCACGCCTGACTTGTCACCTTTTTATTCAATTAAAAAATTAGTTTTTCATTATGGCAGCAATTTATTTTATTTTCTACATGAATATAGCTGTATCTTATAAAGAATACTTTACAAGCTAGTCAGTTGCTCCATAATCAAGTATTTTCTAAACGTCAGCACCACCCTGATCCTGCATGTTTCAGCCTTACTTATGTTGCTATTTGGTATTTTAACTACTAGTTTTTAGCAGCTTTCTGACAGCATTTAATTTAGTGTAGCAGACACAAGATGCCACCATAGCATTTCCAAAGTGCACCTCTGTTTCTTGTTTTTTCCCTCACCTTGGTTACTCTTAACTTCCTGTTTTCTATACATTCCTTTACTGCCAGCTAAAAGCTGTAACCGCACCTTACTTTCATTTTCCAAAATGCTGTCCTACATATCTACCATGTATGGGCAGAATTTTAAATTCCCAAAGTCCCTCTATTATAGTTCATACTCCGATTCTACTTATCACAAAATGGTATCTCTTATGTTCCTCTTGGTCTTGAGAACTCCTGCTTTCAAACTTTTGGTTGTTGGTATTTGTGTCATACATTACACACCACAGTGTTTCCTAGCTGGATAAAGGAAACATTCCTCAAGCTCTTTCTCCACTAAGTGGAAATTATCCTTCCAAAACTCACCACTGTCTATTTCCACACAGAAGTTGACATCAAGCCTAATGTGCACATCATTTTTCTTAAAATTTTTCCTTCTATCTGAAACTGTGATGGCAATTCCATGCTAAGAAAGCACGTAGAAAAGGATTTATGAAGTCAACTCCAATAAGTGCTATACTCAATAAGTAGAAAACTGCTCAAGGAAAAACAAAATAATCAGTACGTTAACTCTTAGTGTTAACTCTTTCAAAACTTTCCGCTATATACATTCACATTGGATTTGGAATGACGCTATAAAATGGTATTTGCAAACAAAAACACAAACACTTCAATTATTCTAATATAAACTTTTCAGGGACACTGCTGTTCAACTCTGTCAGGGACAACTAGGAAATGATGAAGTCTTGGACTTTAAGAAAAGATTAACTTCTTCCTCCATTGGCTGTCATTACACTTTTCAAATCCGAGAAAAGGGAATCTGTACTGTTTCCAGGCGCTGGCAAAGGGTTTACAGAATCACTCCAGAGCTCAGAGCAGCAGAGACCACCGCTCATCTCCCCGCCAGGGCACACTTCAGGGAGGTAGTCACTGCCAGCATGGAAGAAGAAAAGGTCCGGCGGCTGGCAGTGTCCTACGAGGCCAAGTTAGGAAGCGTTCTGTACCTGCTGCGTACTTCTCCAGATGGGGCGGGGAGGAAAGCCTAGAGCGAGCACAGCAAGCCGACACTTTCGAAAACAAGTAACGATCCAGACACCTTGCCATGGGTGAGGGTGGGGACAGCGGCTAGGACACCTAACTTAATGGAGGAGGGCAGGCTGACAGCGCAGGCCCTCACACAGGCCGAGGTGGCCACGGCGGTCAGGACACAGCAGGTGGACAGTTGAGAGTCTGACAGGGGTGGAGACACTCAACTTGGGCAGGTAGAGAGCAAGGAGGGGCCTGACAGCACTAAGACCAACACCTCACTGTGGTTGGATCCAGGTGGTGCGACCCGACTCGGGCCGAGATTTGGGGCAGATGGTGCAGACGCCTGACTAGGGCCGGAGTTGGGTCCCGGGGTAGGGAGCTGGACAGCGTGGAACCGATGCGCGGCAGGGATCCGGGTCCGGGCGGTGGGGGCGCACTCACCCAGGCGGGCAGGTCACAGGCGCGCACCCCCAGGCGCACGGCGCGCTCCTCGTCCTCCAGCAGCGCCAGCGCCCGGCACAGACGGCTGGCCTTGAGGCCGCGGCTCCGGCGGCACCAGGCGAGTAGCCCGAGCGCCAGCAGCACCCAGCTAAAGCTCAGCCCCAGGTAGCCGAGCGCGTACACCGGCAGCAGCAGTGCGAAGCTGCGTGCCAGCTGGGCCAACAGCCCCGGCACATCCACGCTCAGCGCGCCGTCCGAGGGCTCGGGCTCTGGCTCTGGGCGGCCCCCCGCCTGGCCGCAATCGGCCTCCGGACCCTCGTTCCCCGCGCCCCTCATCGCCAGCCGCTCAGCGCAGCTTTCCGTGCAGAGACGGGTGCGGCACTCCCGCCGACCGCAGGCAGCTCCGCCCAGCGCGCCAGCGCCCCTAGAAGGGGGACTGCCCACGCCACAGCTCCACGCCTGGAATGGGTGGGGCACGATGTCATCACAGCGCGCAGGACCCTCCTCCCAAGTCGCCTCTGGAGACTGTACAGGTGGAGCACGGGCGTGGTTACGTCATCACGGTGCGCAGAACCCTCCCCCGCCAGGGCCTCCTCGGAAACCCTGGACTGTAGGGCCGGAACGTGGGCGGGGCGAACATCATCACGACTAGCGGGCCTCGCCCCCGCGCCTTCAGCCCCCTGAGGAGACCAGCGGCAGGGCTGTGCTGTGCGTGGTGTCCTTCCGCGGTCGGCCCCATCCACTCGCTTGCCTCCTTCTGAAGACTGCCTGAGTGGCTGTTACACGCCAGCAGGCCACACTAGGAGTGGGCGGCTCACGAAGCCATCGCCCCAGGCCGGCCACGCCCCCGGCCCGTCTGAGTGGTTTCCTCGGCGTTTCCTGATGGATCGCGCGGTGTGTTCGCTGGGTGGTGCTCTGTGGGAGGCAACCAGAACGCGCAGCTGCCCCACGGGAGCCGCGCACAGTGCCAACTGAATGTGGTGGGACTCAGCTGGCCATCCTTCCCGGGAAGGAGCCGTGTACTCGTCCTGGTCCTTAAAATGTTGGCAGGGCAGAAGGATAGTTCCTGGGCCTGTGTGGACCTTGTGGCCACTCCATAGTGAAGCCCATGCCTCGCGCTCCTTCACGTCCCAGAGCTTATGAAATCAGTTGTCCTGAAGATCAAGAAATGCAGAGTAGTTATAGTTGTTGTGTACCCCAAACCAAACTTAGGGAACGTCTGTGAAGTTCCCAGAAAAAAAAAAAAAAAGACGACTAGGTTAAAGGGTGATAGAACTTAGATTGTAGAATGTTGGAATGTTTCAGATCCAGAGGCAAATTATCTTGGGCCATGTTTTGCCCCCCTCAGTAGCTATTCACTGCCCACCTTGGTGTCTGACCTAACATCCTGTGAAACTTTGGGGAGTATGAAACCACGAGCGTCCACCCACCCCAAAGCTAAGAATGTCATTAGATAGCCTCTGGAGCCTTCAGCAATTTTTTTCCCCACTGCTGTGACCCAGTTACCAATATATTTGAAATTTTTCACTAATGTATTTGGAAAGTGCCTTGATTTATAACTTTCTTTTGTTCCATAACTGTAAAAACGCAATAACACTTTCCACATTGGAATGTGTTGTTTGAGGCAACTTGAGTCTGCGTTCTTGGGCCATGATCATGTATGGCTAAAGAATAAACTCAACTCCCTTTTGGTAGGTAAAAAGTTGGCAGAGAGGCACTGAGGCACAGATAAAACTCCATGAAAATAGTGTTTATTAGCAAGAGAATACATGGGACAGATTCCCTTCCCCTTAGGGAAAATGTCTGCCTGGGTCTTGAGCTGGGGTCTTTTAAAAAGGGAGGCTTCTGTTTCCTGTAGAAGGTGGGAAGGTGTATTTTTTTTTTAAGTTGGGGGGTGTGGGAGAGCAGGATTGTTAAAACCTGTCTTCTTTAGAGATCAAAGGGGAAGCCTGTTGTGTTGGGCAAACAGTAGAGAAAAGTCTGTTTCTCTTGACTTCAAAGACCAAGGTGCTTATCAGCTAGGTTCCCTTTTCTCAGGAGCATGAGAAGTCCTCGGGATCCTGTTGGTGAGGGGGCAGGGCTATCTGAACCTTAACATTCCAGCCTTTTGTGTTGTAGGATGGGGGCACCCTTGTAGTCTTGTTACCTCCTGCTGGACAGGGTCCACGGTGGTGGGGGGGGAGGGGGCTGGATTAGGGATGGTCAGACAGCAGGGGTTCTCTCTTCATGCATCTCAACAGGGTCCTGGGTGGTTGACAGGCACTTGTGTACATGTGGAAGGAAGGAAAGTAACAACTGATTAAAATTAGTAAGAGTTAGTTTTTGGATTTGGTCCTGAAAATATCTAGAGGCAAGGAGCAATGGTTAGCACCAAGGTAATAGCTCATTAAATTTCTTTTTTTTTTCCTTTTGCCAGGGCTAAACTTGAGAGTGATGGACTCAGGATTTGTTTTCAGGCATTTTGATAGCTGTTGGAGTGGCTAGAATCAGTGTCAGTTACCTCTCAAAGGTTTCTAGATAGGGAGAGAAAACAAATTGAGCCATCATTTCATTTTTTTGGCTAGAACAATAGTGGGTTGCCTCCCTTAGCTGTAAGTGGGCACTACAGTATTGTAGACCAAGATTTGAAGTCTTACAGCTGAGTAATGTTGTCTCATTAGGAACAAAATCTTCAATGAGAGATAATTGTCTAAATAACATAAGAACTCAAGTCTAATGTCTGGGTTGTATAATCCCCTGAACACTTAAAATATACTGATGACTTTAATTTTGGTTATACTTTCCTTTCGGGTGTTTAAGACCATACTATTGGCCCAAATAAACCCCTCAGGGGTCGGTCACATGGGCTTGGGGGAAGCCCCTGGCTCCTCAAGCTTTTCTTTTACCAGTTCCATCTATGTGACAATAAGTCAAAAGGTCCTGCTTGACCTGGGCTTCGCTTAGAAGCATGGAGGAAATGTTTCCGCTGTGTTAACCCTCCTCTTTGCAGACTGGGCACTGGTTCAAGTCCCTCTTCTGGGGTCTCCATGGCCTCCCTGAACAAGAGGACAGGTGACTCTCCAAAGTTACAGGACATTTCGAGAGATGCGCCATAGCCCCTGGAACTTGTTTGACCTTGGAGGACCAGGAACAAAAATTTGTCCCTTTAAGTCCCTCTGACCAGATTAATATAGGCCTTAGAGTCTGGCTATTAAACATCCAACAAGGTTAGTTACACCAGTCTGGTACATTAATTACCATGTGCTATGTAGCTAGAGCTTGGGCAACATCCTTAAAAGTTGACTAAGCTACGACCCTAGAAATTTTAAGATTGTCTACACATTATCCTTGTCTCATCCTTGTTATAACAACCCTACATAGACCTTCGTCACCTGCCCAGCTTTCTCATTTCTCTGTCAATTCTGGAAATATCTAGCCATCATAATTTACATACATAAATCCTTTTTTGAAAATATCTCCATATCTAAAGGTCCCTGGTTCGATCCCGAGTTTCGGCACCGTCTGATAGGTAAAAAGTTGGCAGAGAACGAGCGAATGGAGGATGAGGCACCGAGGCACAGATAAAACTCCATCAAAATAGGATTTATTAGCAAAGGAACAAATGGGACAGAGTCCCTTCCAGACAGGGAAAATGTCTGCCCAGGTTTTGAGTTGGGGTCTTTTAAAAAGGGAGGCTTCTGCTTCTTGCAGAAGGTGGGAAGGTGTATTTTTTTAAAAGTTGGGGGCGGGGAGTGGGAGAGCAGGACTGTTAAAACCTGTCCTCTTTAGAGATCAAAGGGGAAGCCTACTGTGTTGGCCAAACAGTGGAGAAAAGTCTGCTTCTCTTGACTTCAAAGACCAAGGTGCTTATCAGCTAGGTTCCCTTTTCTCAGGAGCGTGAGAAGTCCTTGGGATCCTGTTGGTGAGGGGACAGGGCTATCTGAACCTTAACACCTTTGAGGTAAGAGCTATGTTTTGTGTCAATGCCTCCTGCCTGTGTGTACCTGGGCTTTTTCAGTGATTCCAAGAAAAATTTTAGTTGGTTTGGAACAAAGTAGGACATGACAGGAAGTGAATGAACAAACATGCAAACTCAGCTGTGGAAGATCTTCCCCTGTATATATGTGGGTGTGTATCACAGCATTTCAACAGGCTGTACAGGTGATAGTACTCTGCTGGGCAATAAACCAAGCAAGGTAAAGAATCTTATTCACCTTTCATGATCCCTCCTTTACCTCAACAGGAGATTATATCATGTAAACAAAATATGCAAATTAGCAAGTGGAAACCTATTTCCTGCATACATCAGGTTAATGCTCATAATGCTACCAAGCCTTGCTATCATCAAAATAAGTGATTCCCTTGGTAACACAGGAAGGAGCAGGATTCTTGCTAGGTTTTGCAGTGTTTGGTCTAAACAGATGTTCATATTCTGTAAGACTTCTGTGAACATTAGCCACCATAATTTAGATAAATGTTAAAGAGTACTGTCTACCCTCCAGAAGCAAAGTTTATCTCAGATCTTCCTTCTGCTTTCCTTTCTCCTGAAAAGCGAATCATAGAAACTAAAATTTCCCCTTTTTCTAAGACAGATCATAAGAACTGGAACAGCTTCTCCTCAAAATAAGCCATGAAGCCTAGAAAGTTACTCTTACCTTCTGGTCTGTTAAGCGATCACAAGGCCGCCATTTCAGAAGGTCTCCTACTTCATACCTGAAGGAAAGAAATGCTGCACAGAAATGCTAAAAAGAATTTGAACAGGCTTTGCTGCATTCTCACCTTGATATGTTACTATTGGATAACATCTCTATTCAATCACATCAGTACATGACTGTCACTGAGCAAAAAATAGATAGTAGACACTGCATTGTTGGGTCTTCATTCTGAAAGCTTTTATACATGTAAAACTGTGATCAAGTAAATGTGATCATTTCTACAGCTAGCTTGTTTTGGGGATGTAGGGTTGTTAGTTATAACCTGTCGGAGACCACGCTACCTGGCAGCCCTCCCTGCCCCCCAGGGCAAGCATCCTCCGGAGAACTTGCTGATCAGTCCTCCCTGCCCCCTAAGATAAGCAACCCTTCCGATGAGTTAAGATAAGTTTGAACAACCACCAATTTCCTTAGCCTGTAACCAGACCATGGCGCCAGGTCCCCTCATCCTAGGGACATTCATTAACCCATTGAGACAACACCTTCCCTTCCCTTTCCCCAGCTAACTTCCCGCTTCAGCCCCTATAAGAATCCCCGTGGAAAAATAAACTTTGGCAGCTTGATCAGAGTTCTTTGTCTTGCTGTCATTCTTCGTGTCTCTTGTCCCATCATTCCAGGTCCCTAGGAGTTCAAGTCTCCGTCTCCCGCCCTACTGGCCAGGGCAACTGGCGCCCAGAACGTGGGGCTCGAAGCCCCCAGGATCCCCTGGAATGTCGCTGATTGTATGGGTGGGCCGGGTGGGCTCACCCGGACTGCACTGAGCCACCG